GCCATGTCCAACCCTAACCCAGTCTCCTCTCCTCCCTACCCTGCAACCCTCCCCCCTGTGCCCCTCACAATTATGCACTCCTGTTTGTCCTGCATTTCCTCAGTTTGAATGTTGGTACTCTGGTGTCCCATGGTCTATTGCTCTAAGGGATGTATTACCATTGAATGTGTGGGTGCGGCATCCTGGGTTGAGTGGTCATTTTGTTAACTATTGGTCTGAGAGCCCGCCCCTGGGGGTGTTTTATTCCAGGCACCGAATGTATTTCAGGGTCATAGTATTGGGAGTCTCACCAGATTTCATCTGACCAGTAAGTCTGGTCATTAATGAGTTTTTGGATTTTGTTCCACATTTTCCCTCCCACTCTATCCAGGATCTCCAGCTTTGATTCTTTCCTGAGTGGTTGGCATTGGTAACCGGGCACCATCCAGTTCTTCTAGTCTCGAGGGCCATTATGTCCTAAGGCTGATTGCTTCTAAATGCCCTTGTTTTTTTTTTTGCGTTCTTCTTCACTTCCAACTCTAGGAGACCATTAGCTGCATCTTAGATGGCTGCTTGAAAGCTTTTAAGACCCCAAGTCGCTATTCACCAATGTAGGATGTGGAGCAACGCTTTTCTGTATTTTGTTGTGTCAACTGAGTCTGATGTCCCCCAGTACTATGTCCTGTCATCTCCTGTACTTTGGCCATGTTATTAGAAGGGCCCAGTCCCTGGAGAAGGACATCATGCTTGGTACAGTAGTAGTTGTTGTTGTTGTTATGTGCCGTCAAGTCGGGCCCGACTCATAGTGACCCCTCCTTGGGTTTCCGAGGCAGTATCACTACGGAAGTAGGATTGCCCAACCTTCCTTCCGAGGAGTGGCTGGCGGTTCAAACCCACCAGCCTTCTGGGTAGCAGTCAAGTGCTTTAGCCACTATGCTCCCAGAGCTCCTTGGTACAGTAGCGGGTCAGTGACAAGGAGAAAACCCTCAATGAGATGGACTGACAGTGGCTGCCAACAATGGGCTCAGACACAGCGATGACTGTGCTGGCGCCACAGGGCCAGGCAGCATTGTGTTCTGTGTGTGGTACACGGGGTAGCTGTGAGCTGGAACTGACTCAATGGCACGTAACAACATCATCATCGCTGTGCCTACAACCTGGAGGCCGAGCGAAGCAGAGTTCAGGATGTCCCCAAAGGCAAAGAAAGAGGTTTAGGGTTAAGTGGAGGATCCAGTGCTGCTTAGAGGGGTTGAGGACCTGGTCACCAGGTCACCACCTGACCAGACCTCTCCGATCAAGAACCTAAAGATGCCTTGATTGTGCGTAAGAGCAAAAGACCGATGATGGCCCGAGATGGTACCTCAGTCCCCACAGAGAGGACGCTGGTGGGATAAACTGATAAACCGCCTATGGAGGGCAATGTGGCAAAACCCATCCAATGACAAATCACTGCCCTTGGGCCCAGCAAGTCCTTCTCCTGTCATCTGTCCTGCAGGTATACCTGCACATGCACAGAATGACACACACACAAGGTCACGCACTCCAGCAGGGGGCTGGGCCACAGGTGTGCCACATACTGGACACTACAGAGCTGCAGAGAGAGGGCAGGCAGCTGTTCCAATCTGAAACATCCCCAAAGGTCACGTAAAGCAAAGAGAGGAAGGGGCAGGACACTGTAGACTTTATATTACTCTGAATTTTGAACCATGTGAATATAAAATACGTATTTTAAAAAACAGAACCTGAGCTCTCTTTCTCATATGCTGTTAGAGAGAGAGACAGGCAGAAAACCCCAGGAGAGCTCGCAGAATGCTTTAAGTAAAGGAGGTTCTCCTTGGGGGTTTGGGTCTTAATGAGGGATCTCCCCAAACTGAGTCCGATACTGAAAAGGGACAATCGTCCATCCAGGCTAAGCTGTGGCTCATGCTGAGACCAACCTGACAAAGTCTTCGGGAAGCAGGTCAGGACTGACACCCAGGGAGTCAAGCACGTCACTTCGAATCTGGAGCAGCGACTCAGAATCCTCCCTGTAGGTATCGGAACGAGGGTCTCTTCCTTTATCCGTGCGGAATTTCAGGAGCACTGGGAAAGGGAGAATGAGGGCAAGTTATAAAGCAAGTCTTTTCACAGTGATGTTTACAGACGCCAAGAACCTGAAATGTTTTAATTGTACAGTAAGAGAATGTTAATTAAAATGTGGGACACACAAAAGGTCATACACTTTCATTTACTCAACAAATATAATCAGAGAGGCAATCAAACAATTACAAGAATGACTGGCGTGACTGCATCTAACGGAACCTGCCATCCACTGGGCGGTGTCAAGTGAGGCTTCCCTGGGGAAGCGACCGCTGACGGTGTCTGTGGGAGGAGTTTCTGGGTGGGTGACTCTGTGAGTGTGTATGTGTAAGTGTACGTGCGGTGTGTCTGTGTGTTGGGGGCGCACTTCCAGCACTGGGCAAAAAAGCGCGCTGGTGACCTAGACAAGCAGGAGGCCTGCATTCTGGGCACCAGTTCAAAGGGCTGCTTCACGCAGCAAGGCCACCAAGTGCTCAGACTCAACAGGCGGGGCGGGTCACAACAAACAAAACCTCCCTTCGTACAGGAACTGCTTTCCAGCCTCCAGAAGTGGATCTTTCCTTCTGATTCTCAACCAGAAGAAAGATTCAGATGCTGGCAGGGAGTCAGACCCACAGTGGAAGGAAACCCCTAACAAGGCTCAGACTTTGACCCAAAACGACACAGGAAGGAGCAGGAGCTGATCTGTGAAGACAAAAGCGCATCACACTGACACTACACTTGGTCCCTGTTCCCACTAGCTTCCTGGGCAGGGGGAGAGCCAGGCCCAGGCCTGTCTCTGAGGCCAATACTCCACCATATCACGTAAGCAGAGGTTTGGACATGTGGTCCACCTTGAGGCCCAAGTCCGGGGCACTGATGGTGCTCTGGGATACTTCACACCTTAGAGTTTGCAAAGGACCTTCCCTTGAGGTTCAAGTATTTGCTGACTGAGAAAATGAACACAAACATCACATTATATTCCCCCCTGAATATCACAAACCAAAAACAAAACCCACTGCCACTGAGTCAATTCCTAACTAGTGTCCATAGAGCTTCCAAGACTGTAATCTTTACAGAAGCAAAGCCCAAACCACACCCACTGCTGTCTAGTCGGGCTGACTCACAGCGCCCCTAGATGACAGAGTGGAACTGCACCACAGGGTTTCCGAGGCTATAATCTTTACGGACACAGACCACTTCATCTTTCTCTTATGGAGCAGCTGTTGGGTTTAAACCGCTAAACTTTTTGTTAGCAGTCCCATGCTTTAACCACAGAGCCACCAAAGCTCCTCCCTAAAAATTAAGCGGGCATAAACATTGAGCCAACTGCTGTAAGAAAGAACAGGTCGTTCCAGATGAAAGCATCCAATTTCTTCCAATTTTAAGATTCCTAGATCACTGGTGATGGGCAATTTGGACTGAGAACTACTCTGTCAGGAGCACCTATCTATTCCCTCAGCACAGGCAGACCAGGGACCAGCGGGAGCATGGAGAGTGAGCAAGGGCACCTTGGTCTCTGGATGGATGCAGGCAACGGTCCAGTGGGGGACAGATTCACAGGACAGAGAACTGCAGGGCCATAGCAGGCAGCTCCCTGAAGCCTTACAGAAGTTCCTGAGTGGATCAGAAAGACACATTCCAAGCAGATCCCAAACCACGAGGCCCAGGTATAGGGACACACACCCATGCCTCTCTGTTTCACACTGAAGGTGTCCTGGCGGCACAGTGGTTAAGCTCTTGGCTGCTAATCGAGAGGTCAGAGGTTCGAACCTACCAGCTGCACCTCAGGAGAAAGATGAGGCAGTCTGCTCCCGTGACAGCCTCGGAAACCCTGTGGGGCAGTTCCACTCTGTCCTCTAGGGGTGCTGTGAGTTGGAATCGACTCTACGGCAGTGGGTCTGGGCTTGGTTTTTAATTTCTACACTTGCCCTGATGCCAACGTGTGAGCCAGGCCCTGCGCTGGCAGCCTTCACTGGCCCAGTGCAGGGCTTTGCACACAGTGATTTAAAAAAGAAAAGCAAAGAAACGCTCTCAAACACCTGTTTTGAGTACTATTTGCTGTCTGGAATGCTGCTCTCCTCATTTTCTGAGGTCAGAGCGGGAGCCCTTGGCTCCACCTGACCAGTTGGTTGGCAACAGCCAACTCGAGCCCATGTGACCCGGAGGTGGGCTGACACAGATCCCCCAAGCTCGAGCTTCTAATTCTGGGTGCATGCTGAATTCTGCTTTAGAGTAAATAAATACAATTAAGCAAGCGTTTGGGAGTCCAAACCCAACCCATTGCCACTGAGTCAACTGCCTCATAGCGTCCCTCGAGGACAGAGAACTGCCCACAGGATTTCCCAGGCTGGGATTTTTACAGAAGTACACGCCACATCTTTGTCCTGTGGCGCGGCTGGCAGGTTCAAGCCGCCGACCTCTCTGGTTAGCTCAGCAGCCGAGGGCTGAACTGCCAGGGCTCCTTCGGGTGGAAACAGGGTGGAGCAAGGCCACAGCAGTGGCAGTGAATCCTGCTTGACTGCTCTCCCAACAACGTTCTGTGAAGACAAGGGAATCGAGATGGGCTAGTACGGCCGGAGCAGAGACCTGGTGGGTGCTCTTCTCATCCATCATTGTCAGCGCACACAACACACCCATGGGCATGTGTTTCCTGTGTAGACAACCAAGGCAACACTGAGCACAGGCTACGTGTGTTGGCAGAGTCCAGGCCTGCTGGTTAGTGCCAGCAGCTGCCATGTGGAAACTAAGCGAGGTTGCTGGACTTTGAGGCCCAGGTGGAGGACAGCACTAGGAGCCCCTGACTGGCTGCGACAACAGCCCAAGGCCGCGTCCCGTGCTGTCCTCTCCCCGGGAAGGAAGCATCGACTGTGGTAAGGGGCTGAGACAACAGGGTCCTTGTTCAGCCCTTGCCACAAAGCTTTTCATCTTCAGGTTAGAAAACACAGCTCCTCAAGCAACGCCCAGAAGTGACGACAATGGCCTGAGACCAGACAGTGCCACCACGTGCCCAACAGCATTCTAAGCATGTGATACACATGGGTACTCACTCCACCACTGCTGGGAGGCAGGTACCATGACTCTCCTTATTTTACAGAAGAGGAGACTGAAGTTCAGAAAGGTTAAGTAAATTGTAGTAAGTAGTGAAGCAAATATGCAAACCCAGCTCTGGCTTCAGAAGCTGTGCTTCTCACCCACCATGGAATCCAAGGGAAATGGCAGGGCCATGGTGGAACGCAGCACCAGGGAGACCAACTGGCTCGGCTCTCGGCTCCCATCTCAGGAGAATCGCCACTTGGCCATGTTTTTCAGATGTGTTTTACAGATGGGTCCTGTCCTCTCCCATCTGTCTACTGACTTTAAGCTACTAGTGCAGGGGGTAAAGAAAGTGGAGGCAGAGGCCTCATAAAACGTGGCCCTATTAATCTTACGTGAAGAGCAGCTTCACCTCAGAAAGGAGCAAGACTGCATGACAAGGCAGCTGCCGGCCTGCTGTGTCCCTGGGCCCTGCCCGCTCCTGGGGCAGGCTGCCTGGACAAGGGCCGGCAGGCTGGCACCGTCCAGATACCTCACTGACCACATCTGAGGGCCTCTTGGGGCCTCTGGGAAGGAGGCCAGGGCGGCTGGCCACTTATTTGCAGCAAAACAAACAGAAGCGGTATTTTCACTCTTCTTCTAATGTCAGCACTCCAGTTCGCAAGGGCGGAGGGGGCAGGCGGGAGACCATGTTCTCGACAGGCAGTGGCCCCAGAACTGACCCGGGCCCCTGACTAGTTCATGCTTATTAAATTCTCCTCTTTGTTCTGCCTGCTGCCCCTCCCAGATAGCCAGACACACACGGATCAATGTTGACGCTGCAGTTCTGAAAAGCACCTCCCACCACCAGTGGACGGACATGCACACCATTCCGTTCCGATCAAACACTGTCAGGGACGGAGCGTTGCAATGCCAAGAGATGACTCATCGACCAGTATCAAAACACAGCACAGAATTAGAGTTCTAAACGTGATTAACTTGATCTGAACCTTTTAATTAAGTCAGGCTGCTGAAGTCCGGTGGGGAGCAACATTTATCGCTGGAGCTGAGAGGCCAGTCTAGGCCTCGTTTCCACTCAGGACAGGCCCATGTCATGAAAAACGCAAACTCCGAAGAGGAGAAATCAAGCAGCCCCTCGTGTGTCTGAGGAAACAGTCTGCGTGTGAACACATCCCTGCCTTCCCCAGTCTCCACAGCGTGCAGAGCGGCGTCGCCTGCTGAGGGGTTGGAAAGCAATGTATCTCTTTCGACATATTTCTTATTACATTTCAGCCATCAAAAAACCCAGCTATTCTCATAGAAAGAAAATGAAGTCCACGTTGCAAACTAGCCTCCCCTCAACTGTTGTCCCCCTGCACCATCCCGCTCAGGTGAGGAAGAGCCAAACCTTTGTAAGTTCGCCTCGCCTGACTGTGCCAGACGCCCTTGGCCCTGTCTCCCTGGGTCTGCTGAGCCTAAAGACGGCCCTTTCTCCCCAATCTGGCTCACTGACGGAAGGAGACTTATCATCCCTAGGAAAGGCCTGGAAATCTGTTCTGCTCCTGGGTTCGGTAAACTTCCAGGACAACCTCCTGGCCAACAGTCCCTTTTCTAAGGCAGAACTCTGTGGCCTTGGCATTTTCTTAATTTTTAATAAATACCTACTGAGCACCAACTTCGTGCCAGGCCCCGTGCGGGGCAGGATGGTGACACTCTGCTCTCCCCGACCTTTCAGTGAGGGAGACGAACACTGTCCACGAGACTGTGCCAATGAGACAAGGTGCTCTGAGAGGGTATTACAGGACACACCCCTCAACTGGGTGGGGTGGGCTCACCAAGTAACCAGGCTCTGCACCATCTGGTGGAACCACTTCAGTCCCCACTGTGCCCGGGACACATAACTGTCACCATGTCCTGGCCCTCAGCACATTCAGCTGCTGCCTTTAGGGCCTGCTGCCCCTCCTGGCCTGGTGAACTTCTTAACAGATGACCATGGGGCACAGCAGTAA